TTGATTGATTCATAATAAGAGAAAAAAAGGAGAAAAAAGAGAAAAAAAAAAAAATTGTACAAAAGAAAAAAAAGAATTTTGCATGTCCACGCGTTTTTTACGACGAGATACGACGAGCTTCGATCTTGATGTCATGTTGGTGTATCACGGGTCATCCTGTAGAACGTTTGTATCACGATGTCGAAAAGGTCGAAACGATCGGATATCGGTGCCTAGCTCATGTTCTACTCACTGTTCCTTGATTAAGACGGTCACTTTGTACCTGCTTGCTGCCTGCCTGGCCCGTGCGTTACATAAACATATTTCTAATCTTATCGAGGTGATCAATCCTCTGTATTTTACTCGATAATAACGTCCAAGCATGTCGCGTACTTTCGTTGTGATAATCCGACGGCGTGGCGTCCCGACGGCCCTTGCCGTCCATGCGGTTTTTCTACACGATATCGAGGAAGCGTAACGCCGATTAATTATTTGTTATATCCCATTCGATTTCGCGAAGAGCAACTATCCCGAAGGAAGGTTGATGGTTTCGACAGCTGTTTCGACATCTACATCCAGCCGACGTTTGAATTCACGTTCGAAAATTCACGAAGCTGATTTTCTTGGATACTATATATGTATATATGTATATATATACATATACACGCATATATATATACATACATATTTCCTTGTCATCGGGCAAGACGCAACATGAACGATGATCGATTGTCGACACGTGGTCAATCCGGTTCCAAGGGAATCCATCTGATCGCGTGAATTTTGGAACGATGGCTGCAATTAAAATTTAAACAAGTTCGTGCTACTTTTAGTGGAAACGAATAATGGTAAAGGCTCCATCTCTTGTAATATTTTTATTATCGCAAACGTAATATTACATTATTATTAAATTATATTAAATAAAGGATTACGCCACTGTTTATTATTTATTGACTAACGTTCGACTAATATTGTAAATAATAACGAAAATATTTTATCTATATTTCCGATCCGGGGGTGTTGGGCGGGGCAGCGTATTACCTCTTGTCCGCCCTTATGGCGATCCTACGATCGCCGTTCGCCCACCCCCTATTGTTACACCATTTCATCATTGCATTTAATAAATTATATATTTATTGACTCACTTACCTTTTGACTTACCCCCGCTTATTTGTCTATTCTAGCTCTAGGCACTCGTCCAACACACATCGCTACCGCTATCGTCCTAATTTCCACGGCTGGTTTTTTAAGAGCAAGGTCGGCATTGGATTAAGAGAGAGAGAGAGAGAGAGAGAGAAAAAAGAAGGTGAGATTTTGTTCCTTTTTTTTTTTTTTTTTTTTAATTTTTTTTCCCCCCCCTTTTTTTTGAGGTTTTTTGGTGTTGAAAAACAAAAAAATTTTTTTTTTTTTTTTTTTTTTTTTTTTCTTTTTTGTTTCATTTCTCTTTTATTACTTCCGCAACAATTTGTTTAAAGCATACAAACGGTACAAACTGTATGTGTGTGTCACTTTGAATATAAATTAAATTAAATTAAACGCGGATATGATGTGCGTACGAGGAAGATGATAGAATGAGAGGAAGGGTGTAAGACGAGAGAGAAGTAAATGATATTCCTTTTTTTTCTTTTTTTTTATCCCGTTTTTTTTCTCTTTAAGCTAAAATCCAACCGACGTCCGAGAGAGTTTTTACTCGGTTCCAGTATTGATTTTCCGTCCCGACATATTAACGAGGTAAATTATTATCATACATCGGAATAAAATTGGAGAATTGTTGCCAATCGATTCAAATATATATTCCCTGGGAGAGAAAAGAAATCGAAGTTAATTATTTATGATCACCGATGGTATATCGAACGGCTTCCCCGTAAGAAGATTAGCTTAGCGAAAAAACAGGCTACGTTTATTAAATTCCTAACGCAAGCAAGCGGTTAACGTGACGTCTCATCCGTTCATCGTCGAAGCGCGCCTTTCCACCCAAAAGGTATTTTCGGGGAAAATACTTGCCTGATCCCTCGACCATGATCGATCTTCGAAACGAAATCGATCCTTGATCGATCGATTGTCGCTCGACAATGCCGTGAATCGCAAGAGAAGACGCGAAAACGAAAACGAGAAAACGAAGTCAGAACACTTGAACGCGATGATTCTCGCGATCGCAGACGACGATGTTACCGGTCGATGTGACGGCAACACCCTCCAGACCCTTGAATTCACCGTCACCGCTACCCCATCCGCCAAAGGACTTGAGGAACGCCCCCTCAGGGCTGAATATTTGTATCCTGTTGTTGCCCGAGTCGGCGACGACGATGTAACCCTGGTCGTCGACAGCGACACCCCTTGGAAACTTGAACTGACCCTCGTCGGAGCCCTCCGATCCGAACGAGGTCAGCACACGACCGTTCACGTCGAATATCTGGATACGATGGTTGTTCCCGTCGCTCACGATCACGCGATTCGTGTTGCTCACCGCGATGTAATGAGGATGTTCCAATTGGCCACGTCCGCTTCCGCAGGAACCGAATTTGCCCACGAACGTACCGTCCGATTGAAATACCTGCGAAAACAGACGTATTTTGCGATGAGACGAATCGTTGTAAGTTTATTATTATTAATTATGCAACGATTTCGTTAGAAGGATTATTCGTTCTACGTTGAAAATTTGATTACAGCTTTTTTTTTTTTTTTTTTTTTTGTTGGATTATTTTTCCATAATACACCTCGTACACACCGTTAGCAGATGACAGACCTTATTTGTCCATACTTTACATGTATATTATTTACCTACGATAATGCGAAAATGATTATGCAAAAAAGGATTAGAAGAAAAAAGAAATGAATAAAAAAAAAAAAAAAAGTCGGGGAGTTTAGTTCGCTTCGCTTTTCGTAAATCACTCACGCTTACGTCCATTGTCGAATATCGCCGTGCCTCGGTAAGTAAGAACCATTTTCCCTTCTCCCACTTTTTCCCTCTAACTTGATCGCATATTTTTTTTATTTAGGAACTGTGAAGGTTTCTCGTAGCTGGGCTCACACGTATCTCGTATATCGATGTTTGGGAAATACAAACAGAGAAATTACTCGAAATTAATTGTTTATTGCAGAAAAAATTTGTAAGGCGTTTATTTCAAGGATCAAACTATACAAATTCTAGGTACACATAGTGGAAGAATCGAATGGGGGGACTGTAAATTAAACACTGTAATTAATTAAACACATATCATCATCTGTATCATTATCGTATGTTCACAGTACAATATAAGTGACGAAGTCTGACGATATAGAGATTGTTCGAGGGGCGCGTATCGTGTATCGTCGCATCGACGCTTCACGTATTCCTCTTTACTTGTCGGATTAATCGTCCGGATTATAATGAAAAGAAAAATAAGTATCGTTAACGAAACGAAGCCACGTACCTGTACGCGATGGTTCTCTTTATCGCACACATAAATAAATCCAAGAGCATCGGTGGTGATTCCCCAAGGATAATTAAACCGACCGTCGGCGGTACCTTGGGAGCCAAACGCTCTCAGAAAACGACCGGAAGGATCGAGAACCTGAATTCTGTGGTTGTAACGATCCGCGATGATGTATTGACCGATCCTGTTCACCGCTACCCCAGCGAGGCAATCGAATTCACCCTCGCCGCTGCCGTACGATCCGAACTCCTTCGTAAAGTTCCCATTACAGTCGAACACCTGTGCCAAATTCAATATGCGGAATTCAAATTTCGGATACATCAACGAAATTGTTGTTCGCGAAAATATTCTTTCGAAAAAATATATATATATATATTACTTGTACACGATGGTTAGAGCTGTCGGCCACTACGATGGAGTTGTCAGGGCCAACCGCGAGACCTCTGGGCCAAGTAAAGCATCCGGGTTCGCTCCCCCGCATCCCGAACTTGAACAGCTGCCGCCGCTTCAGCAAGTAGTGACTCCTCCGCCCATTGCTGTCGCATTTCAATTATTCATTTCGATAATCGTAATTTTTATTTAAAAATTTCGTTATACTGTTTGTATATATTTTTTTAAATACGACGAACTTTAAACTCACCTAGTGGAGGAACCTGCTGCCGCGGGTATAACGGGAGCTGCCGTAGGGGACGTGGGGGAGCCTGACGGGTTTTTTTGATCGTCGTCAGAAGATTCGAAGGACGTTTNNACCACCGTGCCTCAAAGGTAAGCCGAGCGACAACCTCCTCGAGGTGCTTCCACTGTTTCCAAAAAAAAAAACAGAAAGAAAGAAAGAAAAAAAGAAGGAAAAATTCGTTTACAATCCTCCCATCCAGTCTCTCTCTCACCTCGATGATGGAATCGTCGAGGCAGAGGACGAAGGCTCTTTATCTTTGGTCGTGCGATTCCCGTACTTGTTCTTCAAGTACCGTGCCCACGAACTTAATGCAGCGCCATCCTTCTCGGTGCCCACTCTGTCTCGCTCCGGGCTCGGCTCCCTCGATTTTAAAGCGTGGGTGCTCCGACTCCTGGCCAGTTCGGACCCGGCACCGTACTTGGCTGCCAAGTAAGCGTTCGGCGACTGGGTGGTCGGAGAGGGTGGCTCCTCGTCCAGGTCGAGGTCATCTCCGCCGAAATTGTGCGAGCTTCTGGACCGAGCCAGCCGTTGCCTTCTTTCCTTCAACGCGGCGTACCGTGACCTCGTCGACAGGGGCGAATCGACCTCCGCGTCCACGTCTCGATCCCGTTCTCTCTCCCGTTCCCTTTCTCTTTCGCGTTCTCGTTCTCGTTCGCGTTCTCGTTCTCTTTCGCGCTCCCGCTCCCGTTCCCGCTCCCTGCTGGCCATCATCGCCGCCTGGCTTCTGCTCTTGTTCAGGAACCTGCAACATCCCGGAACCAAGGTCGGCTCGTTCAGATCGTCGGCCTTGTTAATCGGAGGAACAGAGAGAGAGAGAGAGAGAGAAAGAGAGAAAGAGAAGCCTGTTACTGTTCGCGGATTAAATTGGGGATATAGGCGAGGGAGGGGGAAAAAAACATCGACAGGCCATATCGATAGGTGGATATAGAGGGTCGAGAGTTATCGATCATTTCACTATGAATGAATGGTTCGCGTTGTTACATGCGATCGATTATACGCGTTATTATTGGGTTATTTATCTCGAGCTAAGTGCAGAAAAGCTTTCGAATCTTTTCAAATCCTCGAAGCTGTTAAGCTAACTTGTTAAGTTGTGTATGCGTGCGATGATAGTTGACGTGACGAGGCATGAATCTTTGATGGACGATACCGTTTTACGAGATGTACAGGTATACAGACGTCACGTTGGGGATGATAATTTCGTATTCTATCGTGGACGATCTTCGTATCATATTCGTATTCGTTGATAACCATACGTACGTCCTATTCTCCTGTTACATATATATATATATATNATCGTGCTACATTTTCTCGCTATATCTCTCCAAGTGTTAGTTTAGTACCNNNATTCCGTACATAGTGGGATACATAGTGGCAATTAGTCACAACGTGGTGTAAATCTGGCGTGTAATCAACTGGCGTGTTTCTATGGTGTACGAGTAGTGAAAACGGATGGGGTGTGGCTATCGTGTGTTAGTACATCAATCTGTAGTACTTGATATGTCACTTCTTTATCACCAGGACCCATAAATCGTGTAGAATGGTGAGCGAACTGTGGATCCCTGCATTGTAAGCAATTTTATTTCGTGGGTTATCGAAAGTTCGTTGCTTTTAATTGATAGATTTCTCTCTCTTTTTTGTTTTTTTTTTGATTGATCGGGATATCAATCGCTTTCGAATTCGCGCGAGAACGTATAAAAAGAGACGATTTTTCGAGATTTTACGAGTGCGACTGGGAATTTATTTCAATATCTTTTTTTAATCGAACGTCTCTTAAATATATTTCCGTATTCGAAAAATAATTCTTTTCCTTCTTCGTCGAACTGTTTTTGTATTTTCTCAGAACCCCTTTCCTTTCGTTCGAGCACAACTTTCGACCACGATAAAACCTTTCTTTTTTTAATATATACGCGGCAAATATGGGCACACCGGAGTTACTGCAAACGATAGTCGTAAAATTTTAAGACCGCCATATTTTCTCGATCTTCTAACTTCGCTCGTCGATGCTCCCGAGTTGCATCGAATTTTCCAAAGTTGCTTATCGATGTTTTCATAACATTTTGAAACATATATATACATACAATTTCTCGACGAGAATTTTTCGTGCCGTCCGTTTTAAAATTTGGAATGACACCTCCCACCATCATGGTTTTAATGGACGTTGAAAACGATAAAACGTATTGGAATAACATCCGTGTTTCCAGTCAAGCGGATTACAGACCGATATAGCCCCGCTGACTATCCGAGTTGTAGCGGATATTTAAAGCAACAAACGGGTTATATTTAAACCCTTTAGTGCATGCCTGACCACTTTCCGTGTCCCGTACAATGCGGTCACATTAGTTCCGTTTGTAATATCTGCCGGTGTATCCCTCTCTCATTTGCATTTGCGATTTCGGGGATTACGCGTGTATTTAATTATCGATAAAATGTATCGTTATTAGGGGCAAATCGAAACTCGGGGATAATTTGATCAAATTTTGAAGAAGCTTTACGAATTTCAAACTCGCGTTCTTATTATTAAATTTTTACATTGATGTCACGTTTCGAATTCTTCGAAGTTCTTTTAAAATTATTTTCTGCCTCTTTTTCTTTTTTTCTTTTTTTTTTTTCGAAAGTTCGAATTTCTCTTCGCGTTCGTCATACACGTGCGATACCTTGGATGTCATCATGGCTGTGACTCTATCGATTTCTTTTTTACCTTCTCCTCCCATAATTGTACGAGATTGCGACGAGTGCGTTGTTGTGAATTCGTGGTACGATTCGTGCGTGGTACGATACGTTTCATCTCGACGTGCGGTGCAACAGAGTTCGAGGGGGGTAGAGAGGGGAGTGGGTATTGAAAATAAATTAAAAAAATTAAATGTATGGAAAGGAAACTCGAGCTGCTCCTTTGTGGAAATTCTCGGCGGGGGTGCGTGTTGAACCAATGGGGCGAGAGAAATTTCGCGATCGTGATATATCGATTCTTCGCGAACTTTCGATCTGTTAGTGCAATAAATAAAGATGCATTTTTTTTCACGTATTTTTTTTCAAAGGAAGTGGGCGGGCGACGAATATACAAACAAGAGGATACGAAATAACAAAGATTCGTGGAAAAAGTGGGGGTGGTAGAAGAAACGAACGAAAATAAAATCGAATAAAAATATAAAAAAAAAAAAAAAAAAAAAAAAAAAAAAAAAGAAGAAGAAGAATCGAGACAAACAAGAGAGACGAATAACGGATAATATAATAACGTGAATAACGATGAAGGGGGAATAAAGAAAGAAAGAAAGAAAAAAAAAAAAAGAGAAAATTCTCAGGCGGGATACGATACATCTCTCCGTTTCTTGTTCTCCGTTTCTCAATTCTTAATATAAACTGAGGACAAATTGAGAGGGAAATAAATAATACGAGTTATCACAAAGAAATGCAGTTTATTTACCACACCAACAAACTGACGCAAACCTATTCACTAGGAAAAAGAGTACAAAAATTTCAATGTGACGTGAAAATGCAACGGTGTAGCGAGAATGGCTGGTCACCAATAATAAAAACGTGAGAATCGTACCGTGTGTGACATGCCATTAGCGCGACCGTATATCGATGGGAACGATTCAAAAGCGATTCAATTCGGCATGGATTTAAGCTGCTTTGCACGGAGGACGGTATCTTTTACTACTACGCTTAGTTTTTTTTGCCGATTAAAGCGATACTATTCCCTTTTTTTTTTTTTTTTTTTTTTTTTTTTTTTTTTTTTTTTTTCTTTCTTTTATTCCCCTTTGATTCGCGTTGTCTAAGAAGCTACGTGTATTGAGCAATGCAGGGAGATTATAACGATCAACGATCAAGGAACAAAAAGTTTACATTTACGATCGTACGTACGATTATCACAATATAATAAAATGCAAGATTTTCACCATACAGTAATTACGCGAAAATTAATTCTACCACTCCGTTTCTCTCTTAAATCATTTTCATTCCTCGAATTTTTTGCGACGTGTGTATGCGTGTATGTACGTATGCATGTATGATGGATCGATGGATATCGATTCATGGAAATCGTTAGAGAAGAAAAAGATCCGGGGGCAGCAGTTTCGCGATGTAAGACGACCGAGATGCAGGTAAACGAAAGTTTCCGGTGGAAAGCGTCCGAGGAATTCCATTCTTTCTTACCACTACTGTACGCTCGATACGCTTGGTGTACTCGGTGTGTTTCTCCTTTCATGCTTGGGAACGAAACGTTCCACGAGCCATTCTTGGCACGAGCAACACGACAAAAACCGAAACGAAGCGAACGAAGCGCGAGGATAAAAATAACGAAAAAATGAAAAGGAAAAAAGAAAAGTAATAGAAACTGCTGCCGCGGATCTCGGTATCGGAGGCAGTCTCGTCTGTATCCGTGAGAGCGGTCAATTGCAGTCTTTTTTTTTACGACTAACACCGACGAACAACGACAAAAAGAAAAGAAGAAGGCGAGAACGAGTGTAAATACGTAAAAGATGTGAGAGATGGGCGAAAAAAGAAAGAGGGGGCGGGGAGGGCCCACGTGTAGTAGAACAGGTTACAGGAACAGATTGATTAGAACGCTGTAACACAGTACGGACACACAGAAAACGGTGGTTACCATTTGCATCGGTATAGTGATATCGACACCAGGCGTGTCCTCGTGCTCGTTGCAACTTTCGGTCTCTTTGGATTGGGTAGCGTTCGCGACTAATGCACCGTTCTCAACGTTAGTTCTCGCCACGAGGTCGGTCGTTTGGGAACGAATCGTGCTCGTCTCGTCCATGCTTTCCCCCTCTTTCCCGTTCGACGAGTCGTTCACCTTGTTCAGAATCACCCACCCGTTCTCGTCGCCGGTCCACGAGTTCTCCGCCCCGATCCCATCTTTCCCACCGCTCTCCTCCGCCATCGATGATGGACCGTCGCGATTCGATCTCTCATCGCCCTCGTCGACGCTTGTCGCCGTTTCGTTTCTCCACGCGCCGTTGCTCCTCTCCCAACCACCATCTCGATTCCTCGTTGAGCTCCTCGAATCCATCGGCGAAACGGTCCTCTCCGACTCGCTCTCGGATTCATCGGACATCATCCAACCGTTCTTCCCGATGCTGCTTTCCCCGACGTATCCTCGACTCCTCGACAAAGTCCGCGAGGATTCCGAAACAACGGATTCCGCGTTTCCACTCGTTTCGACCTCGTTCGAGATCGTTCGATCCTCGCTACCTCGAACCTTCTCCTTCTCGGTCGAAAGATAATTTCCAGAGGCGTCGCGTTTCTCCTCGTTCGAGATAGGCCGTTGAAAACTTTTCGAGACCGTTTGCGGACTCCCCGGCTGGAGATCCTGATCTGTAATCACCCATCCGTTGTCGTCGAACAACTCCTCGATACTTTTCTCCCCCAGTATGGAGGAACTTCGCCGCTTCACCCCGATATCGTCGTATCCTCCGTAACTGTTGTCGAAATGAGAATTGGACGGTGTTCGATCGGTACTCCGGTCGGTCGACTCGCCCTCGCTGGAGTCGTGGCCACGATCCTCTCGATCGAGATTCTTTTTATCCCTTATGTTGCTGTTCTCGTCCCTGGATTCGTCGCCCCCTTCCTCGTCGCTCTCGACGCTGCTCTCCGTGCTCTCGCTCCCCCCTCCCGAATCGGTCGTCACGTCGTGGATGGAAGGGGCGGCCGAA